TTCCTCTCCCCCTCTCTCTCTCTCTCTCTCTCTCTCTCTCTCTCTCGCTTTCTTTCTCTTGCTGTCTCCCTCCCTTAATTTTTGCCATTAGACAACCGTACGTTGCCCAGCCGGACATCCCCAAATATCCAGTGCGGGCGGTCCAGGCGCCGCTTGGGGCTTGCGTTCCAAAAAGGCTGTTTCGCCCGTCGCGGAACCCTGTTCAAACATTGCCCCAAGTGCAGACCAGGAAGACCCTGACATTTCTCTATGGAGTGGTAACGCTGTTTGGGAGATGGCTCGGGTTTTACTCGGTTTTCAGGCCAGAGTGCGTAGTTGCAAGTTGTAGTCTGAGAGTTCCGCAAAGAAACCAACAGGGGAGCACTCTGAGGCCGAGGTGACGTTTCGGTATAGGACCAAGCCTATCGTGTACAAAATTTTTCGCTGTTTCCGAAACTGCTTTCAATCTTTGCCAAATAACCAGACTTAAAGAGCTATAGGGATTTTAAGCACTTTTTGAGCCCGCGGGAGTCATCTGTCATGGTTCGCAACTTTGCGCTTTAGTATTGCAATACACTTTCCGTAGCCTATTTTAAGAGAATTTTTTCTGATGCGAGTGATATATTCGATTATATGCTGTTTTCATCATTTCCCATACAAAAATCGGAGTCCATATCGTGAACTTTTTCGCTTTTGGCGATTAGCAATATTTTTGAGGTCAATGACTGAATCATTGGAGAGAATTTTTCTGAATACCATCGCGATATTCGTTCCTGAAAAATTTGCCGAGAAGGACAAAATAATCGAAGAGTAAACAGAACTGCGCACACGTTGTTTTGTCGTTAAAATTGAGGAATTCATTTGCAAAAAAAAATCATGGCAAAAGCGAAAACGAGAGCAGCTTAAGTGCCAATTTTCAACTCTTTGAAGGTCTTGATGTTCATTTTCGGGTCTGTTTACCGGTTCGTCTTGTGTTGAAATATGTAAAAAAATTGCGTCCGGAACTGTACGAATGAAATATTCCCATGGCCTGATATCTTGCCAGAGCATCCATTACTTTCCGCCGTTCCACTTCCTCCAAAAATCTACACACACCCATAACCCGGTGAAATCGGCAATTCCGATGATAAAAAGCGCACTTTTTTTGATAGAGCGCCCCTCATCGCAGTCAGCTGTTTGCACTCTTTGGGCACATGGTGGCCGTCTCTCGCCCGAGAGACTACAGGGATATAGAGCGAAAGCCGAACACACAGATAGATCTGTTTTTCTCTGCCATTTCCCCATCTGTCCCCCCTTGGCCGGGCCCTCGAATCCCGGCCACTAGGGCCCACCACCAGCTCTCACTAACTATATTTACTTCGAACGGTGGCGAGGATTCGTAAATTGGCGATTTGCCAGATTTTTCGAGATGAACCATACGACGGAGTTGCTACCGTTAAAGGTGGCCGCAGCGAGGACAGTCGCGCTGCTGTTGATCCAGGTATTTTTTTTGAATTTTTCGCATGGTATGACTTTTAAAAATTAAGCGCGTCCTTGGTAGATATATCCATTTGTTACAAAATTTAACAAGAGCCGTTCAAAAAATTGAAGTTTCAGTTTTCTTTTTGTAAATATATTCTCAAGTTTTCTGATTTTAGAAACAAATACGATGGCGAAAACTCGTGGAAGTTGCCCGTACCCTCCGAGAGATCATTCCGAAGTTAAAGTAAGCAACTCTATTATGTTAAATACAAAAACTACAAAAGTAAAACATTCAAGCCAGACCCAAATTTCAGACTCCCAATCAAAATCCGACGCCCGTTGCAAGAATTGGTGTCACTTTTGTTGCGCGAAATCCAAAGATGGGGTATGCTTTTTATTAATTTTTCTTACTTATTTACTATTTCGACCAATAGATGATACTCTAAGGCTAAAAAGAGTCTTTTCAAAAAAGGGCTTTTGGTTTTCGCAAAAAGAGATCAATTCTCGTGGCAACAAAAAGTGCTAAATTCTTTTAAAACTCTGAAAAATGCCACAGAATGCGGGAACAACAAATAGTTGCTGGCTATTTAAAACCTTAATAAACTCGGTACCATCCCAGATCACAGCTCAGGTCCACAGATTAATTTCGAGAAAGTGCAAATAGATCATAATACAGAAATTATTTGCAAGCCGAAACGGCTAAAAACGAGTCTGTCCCTTTTAATAAGGTGCCAGCAACTTTTGGTTGATCCCACATTTTGTGGCATTTTTCAGAGTTTTAAAAGAATTTAGCATTTTTTGTTGCCACGAGAATTGATCTCTTTTTGCGAAAACCAAAAGCCCTTTTTTGAAAAGACTCTTTTTAGCCTTAGAGAGAATTTAGCCCTTTTTGCCTCAATTTTGTTGTTAAGATCATAGAATAAGTCATGGGATATTTATTCAGATGAACCCTTGTACACAATACTTCAAAAAAAATTGCCTGCGGGCGGGGTTCGAACTCGGGAGCCAAGTCTTCCCAGTACAGCGTGCTAACCACTAGGCCAACAGCGAGACTGGCGACCTGCCTTGGGGCGGCTAGACCCGTCCCCCTTCCGGCGACTGGAGGCCGAGAAAGGGGAGGGTGGTGCCCCCGTATGGCGAAGGTTTAAAGTTATAATAACTCAAAGGAGAAGCATTCTTTCCACGCAATTTCTTCTTTACTTACTCCGGCATGGTCTAATGCCTATTTGAGCAAAATTTCAGCCCAAACGGACATCACTAACCCTTGTTTTGGCCGCAATTTAGCTTCTAAACTTAAAAATTCAATATAAATTTTTTAAAAGCCTATTTTGAAAAAAGCGCTTCTTCCTCACCTTCATTTACATTAAGGCGATATATGTGGAAAATTTCAGCCCAAACGGACCATGGGAAGGCACTTTTTGACAGCTACATTGGTTTCCGTGCAGACAAACACACGCAGACCCCCCCCCCTCGAAACGCAATTTAAATCGGCTGTTAAAATTCGAAATTTAACTTTTTTTCAATTTTTAAAAACTTATAGTATGCAAAAAGTGTCGCCGGTTCCGATGGTGTATTCAGTTTCGCGATCCGATGCATGGTTCTTTTTTAAATCCGGAAAAGGACCCCAAAAGAGTCGTATGGGGGGGTATCTCAAACCAAAAGGGGTTAGCGGGCTACGCCCGCTACCCCGATAAAAAATAATTTTGATTTTAATATGCCTATTATATTTTTAGCCGACAAACACGTGGAAATGTTCCCAAAAGTCCCAGTAAAAATCGGGCGAACCCCTCGATCCGAGCACGTTCGCATGTTTCAGCCGTGGATCGTTTGGAAGCCTGGGAAGTGGGTAAACTCTGAACGTCAATGAAACCACAATAGAAAACCGCAAAACAACGCCACAAATTTAAGGTATGAAATCGACGACTATCTGACGGCGAAAAATATTATGCAAAACGAATGTAAGAATTGGCCGCAAGTGCGTTGGCAATTCGCTTGCTGCTACGCGATGGAGGAAGAGGTGGGAATTCAGAGATTTTGACGAGAGCAATAAGTTAGTGATTTCTACTACTAGAAAACACCAAAACTCAGGCGTAATTTTATGTGAAAAAATGCCTTTCTGATTTGCGTTTTCAAGCTCGTTCAAAAACCATACATTTGTTTTGTTTCAGATTTTTGATGATTGGAAGTACGATCGACACCGAAGATCAACTTTTAAGTAAAATGAAAGCTTCAAAATCAATCGTAATTTTTTTAGAAAAACTTTATCCGACCACCCAGTATACGAATTTTGGTCAGCGCTTTACGAAGCCCGATGGGAGTCGATGTTCGAAACGGAACGACGATTGCCGAATCAGGTACCTTTACGGGACTTTTCAATAGAAAAATTGGTTTAGAAAATGACGCAATGCTTCATCTTCGCAATCACGAATGGCTACTGCGAGCTCGTGAAATTCTTGTGGCACAAGATCGGGCTGAACCATGGGGAGTATGTTGGTAAGTCAACGAAGTTTTCCGGTGTCTTCAAATCCCTTCGGATTTCTGTTATCTGGGCTATTTGAGGCTAATACTGAAAAAGCTGTTGGAAACGATTGATTTTACCTACCTTTTGTTAGTGCGTAGCCCTTGACCGGCTTTTCGCGTCGCTATTTGACACTACGCGCCGCGCTCTTGCGCAAAAGCAAAACGGCGCCATTTTATTTTGATTTTCTGCAGTTCCCCAATAAAATATCCTTGTTTTTATTTAATTAATGTCGACTTTCCAGTATTACAATACATATTTTTCTTTATGCTTTCAGGCCTCCTTCAATGGAAAGCCTCCTGTTTCCGATGCCGAGACCGTGATACCATGAAGTTCTTGTGCACAAAGTAAGCCGAACTTTTGCGCGCGACTTTTCATGCGATTTTTAGATTATGCGAGCTCAACCCAAAAGCCGTGGCCCGGATTACATGGTGCACGTTTTTCGATGCGTTTTACAAGGCCGTAAATGTGAGTTTTATAGGATTTTTTGTGACTTTCTTTAGAACGAAGAAACCGACAAAGTTATTGAGCAGAAAAACCGTTGTAAGGTCCAGTTTTTGTTGACGAATTGTTGCGATGTATTACGGAAGCGACTATTGGGAATGGAAAACTTCAGGTGGGGTTATAGTTATGCTAGTTGTACTCGCAATTTTATATATTTAATGCTTCTTTTTAGAGTGATTTGTGACGCGTTCCGTTACAATCTCGGTGATTTGTTTACGCTGTTTTTGGAGCATTTGGACAAGGATGATTTGCGAGCCGCTCGAGAGGTAGGATAGATGTTTTCCACTAATGATTTTACTTACATTTTTTGGATTATAATGTAAATACCATTAATTTTAATGTTAATTTCTTTTTTAGGTCGTCGACCGCATCCACGACCGTACCCGAACCAGCCATGGAAGCTCGATGAAACAGATGATTCTGCGCAAGCAGCAGACAATCAATTAATTATCACCATGCTCAAAAACTTGGACATATCTACTTATTTATTATTATTATTATTATTATTAAGGGTGTTTAAAGAATAGTTACACGTCTAGCGACGATACCACGCCCAATCGTAGAACATGGGGCCATAAAATCGGTAATATGGGGGTTGTAACGGCGGATAGTTCATTCGGGTAGCAGGGACGGAAAATACAGCCGCATCTTGAGTAAGGGGATTTTCATTTGATTCGAGGATTAAGGGTAGATTTTTTGGAAGCGTATTTTCCGCCATATCCTTGTCCTTCAGGATTGGTGATTTGATCTTGCCGACTACCTAAAAATTTATGATTATAGAAAGAGTTAGAATATAAGCATGAGAAAATATAAGGAAAGTAGGCCAAATATCACTTACCTCAGCCGGGTTATCTCCAATCCGCTTGTATAGAAACTTCACGATCTTCATGCGATACGCCGCGTTAGCTAGAGCTTTCGCGGCATACTTGGATTTGTCGATTTTTGCCTTAATTTTCCCAACTCAAAAGTTAATGGAGCTTACCTTTGCTTTTAAATAAACAAAAGTTAGCCCCGCAAATGGGTCTTTTGAATTGTCGAGTTTGGAGCGTCGAATTGGGTCATCGGCGGCCGGAAGGCTCAAATTAATTTTTTAATTTCTGAATACTAGCTTCTATCTGTCAGAGATGAAATTCATAAAAGTGTTTACGGGTTAAAATAATTTATAGCCATTTTTCAATATCATTACCTCCGATCCCTTGCCAGCACGTCGAGAATTTTGTGCCGAATTTCAGGTCGTAGCCTATGTAAATTCAGCCATGACTTTTGCATCATCTTCGCATTTGCAAATTCTTTATTCTTTGCAAACGACACACCAAAAAATAGTGCCAAAAATAACCCAATAGATAGATGCATGAACACGATTTTCTCAAAAATGATTCAGCCACGTTGCTACTCCTTCTTGCGAAACTTCCTGAATCCGTTCCTCCCATTTCCCCTGAACATTAGATTCTTTCAAGTGTTTCCCACAAGTGGGAAGGTCATTTGCGGGTGGGATTCTCATGAAAAAACGTCCTGGAAAAAAACGAGGTCGAGTGGTCATGCTAGGGTGGAAAGAACTCGAGAATAAGCGAAAAATTTATTCAAATTTTGGGGCCTGATTGATGCATAGTGTGAGATCACATAAAGAAGGTTACATCTCGTGGCGCCGTTTGTGCCTAGGGTATGAAAAGCTCGAAAACGTTAGAAGGGCTCGAGAAAAATACAAAATGCTTGCGTCGGATAAATTCTGGCTTAAAGTGTTGTGACAGTAGGTGTAGCGCGTACTATAAAATTTTCCGAGGCATTGAATTTGAAGCTAAACCAAGGTATAATCAGTTCTCGGGCTCAGCGTCGTCCTTCGATGAGTCGTTGTTGTAGTTCGCACGAAAATCGCTTGCATCTGAATATCGGGCGAGTGCTCTAAATTGATCGAATTGCTCGGAACTATTTTTAGCGCCTCTTTCAAACGTTTTACGTACTAATCGTCACCTATAGAACTTACGCGGATAGCTAGAAGAACCCGGCGATTGGACCCTATAAGCTTCACTGTAGTTGCCTGGCGACATCGGGTACGGTAGTTGGAGCGCAGAATCGGCGGGGTAGGGAAGCTGAAGGGGGAATTAAGACCAGGCAATCGGAAATTACCGGAGATCCTAGCTGTGAGTTCGGGCTCAACGGAATTCCGGCACCTCGATTTTGTAGCTAAGAATTTCTCGGTGTTCGAATGATATGGTTGTTTAAAGTTACCTGACTCCAATCATGACCCTGCGAATATAGCACCGTTCCGTGTGGGTTGTCGAAGACATTCCAGGTCCTGAAATGCAAAAAAGTTTTAAAGTTACATCCGAAGGTATAGGCGCTCAGACCCAAGCAGGAATTCCTTTCAGAGCCATCCATACCTTTCTTTCAAATAATGCTTGCCGTCGGTTTGGATGGAGATCGGCAGTTGCTAAAAATAATATTAATCTTGCAAAACAGTTAAAGGACCGTTGAAGTGCTCAAATCCATAGTGCTGCTTTCCTCAGGCGCTACAATTCGGACACTACGACGTGTTGATTTTCGAGTGGGGCGGCCGGCGAAAAGATCCTATAATCGGATAAAATTATATCAAAGCACAAATTAATGATAGTTAATATATTTGTTGTAATTGATCGAAATTTAAGTGATACAATTAAAAAGGAATTTTTAGGAAATTTTCTGGAGTGTGATTCAGTAAAAATTCACCAGCAACGGCGGTATAACCTCGATGAGGTATGTGATCGGCATGCAGATCGATAAGTTGCGACTAGGCAAATAATGCGTCAGTTGGGACGTGCGCTTTTTTGGGCAGATTTTGAGAGAGGGGCTCGAATGACTTATCAGCTTCTTTTTTGGGGATCCGAACAAAGCATTGTATAACGGGGAAAAAGGAAACGGGTACTTTTAGAGGAGGAGTTTTTGAAATCTTATAAAAACACATTTACTCCTTGAATCTAAAAACACAAAAATTTACCGTATGTCCAGCTGAAGCTGCCGTATTCGGTTTTAAGATTGTTCGGAAAGCTGGCTGATTGTGAGTTGGAATTCAAATGGAAATGAAAAAATTGGATATACCACACTGTTCTGATGATCAGCAGCAACCGCGTAGGTGTTATAAGGTGAAATCTGCCAGGTAATTGAGGACGCTTAATGAACATTTTTTATTTTTTTATAAAAAAATTTCTTACGGCACTCTTCGACGGGCGATGCAAAATCCGGAGCAACGAAAAAGTTGGGCTTTTGAGTAGCTGTGGTGTTGTTTTTTGATGCGTCAACGAGGTGATTCTCGTTCTTAAACGATGACTTTCTTTCTTTCTTTCTTTCTTTCTTTCTTTCTTTCTTTCTTTCTTGCTTTCTCTCTCTCTCTCTCTCTCTCTCTCTCTCTCTCTCTCTCTCTCGCCCTCTCGCTCTCTCGCTAGCTATCTCTCCCTCCTCTCTCTCTCTCTCTCTCTCTCTCTCTCTCTCTCTCTCTCTCTCTCCTCTCTCCCGCTCCCTTCTCTCGATCACCTGTGTCGATTCCGTATAAGCTGGTGGTAGGAGTTTCGGTCGAAATGGGACGGTCAAATTTGGAGCTGGGGCTAAAATTTTAAATTTCATTTCAGAAAATCTACAACATCTAAAAAGTTCACTAAAATTAATTTTCGAAAAATATTTGGAGTTTCCAGGGAAAAATTAGATCGGACCCAGGCTGCCCAGCGCACCCCAATGTGCATGAAACATTTGGGTAAATAGAGTGGGAGCTGGCGGGGGAGAGAGAGTGGGTATTTTGAGAGAACGGAGAGAAACAAAGGCTTTGCCAGCCATTCACACGGCTGGATACTCCCGAAGCGCTAGAAGTTTTTTCAATAGCGGCGGAACGGTGAAAGTGAGAAGCAGGAGCTGGCTGACCAGCGGAACAACATGGAAAAACTGGAGTTTGGCGCCAAAATTAGAATTTAGATCGTCGTGGAGTCTTGGCAATTTTATCATGGTTTTTGAAAGGTATATCACAGACGGTTTTAATGCCGCCATAGCATTAAAAAGGTAACTAGAAAATGATGTTAACCTTTTAGCACATTGGAGGCCAAACTGGAGCCCAGAAAAATTTTAAAAGTGTGGTGACATTAATTTTTATACCTTCTCTTCCCAACTGCCGCCTTGCCCATCGCCCATTCGCCCAGTCGTGATAGTTACTGTAAAAAGTAAAATAAATTTTTTAATTATCATTTTATGACATACCTGTCATCCACTTTGCCCTCGCTGGCACAATGCTCACACCAAGTTTTAGCGCATGCAAAATAGCAGAGGAAGAGGACTGCAGTGATAATTAGGATCGGGCCCAGGCTTGCCATCATGATGACGGCCATCTAGAAAGTCGTTGCAATGACGAAATGAAGCAATGCGTGTTGAGCTCAGGTTTGAAACTGAAGCTCGGCTTCTTTTGACAGCCAAAAAATCCCATGTCAAAGATTCCCCAAAAAAATAGATCCCCAAGTTTCATTAATTTTAAAATTACCGAAGCCCTACGGGCATTAAATTTTAAACTGAACCAGTATTATAAGAATTTTTAACAATAAATTTTAGTAACTTTACAAACTCCAATGGATTGACCTTGAACTGAAAATTTTGAAAAACTGATAAAATAAATTTGCATACGTGCGGCTTTAACGCATCCTAACTTACTTCGCGCGTTGCAAATTAGCACTTTACAGTTATCAAATAAGCGAACTGGTGTTTATTTAAGAAAGTAACACATATAAAGCGAGTAAACCCCTTAAAATTACCATATTCCCATCGCCAATCGACCAGTACCACGCTGCAGCCCGCGCAGGAAATACCAGCAACAACCACCATTTCATTCGTTTCTAAAAGACACCCAAACTACATATTATTGTTGATAGTGCAAAGCCAAAGAACTTCCGTCGAACATCAGAAATTTTGGGGTGGTTTTGGTCTGGGCTACATGTCGCGCGAAACGGCACGCAATCTGGGTCACTAATCCGGTAACTACCTGTGTGCCGAGCTGCTGGTATTTAGGTGGATGGTGGACACCGGGGGGTCACGACAACATTTACACGATAACAAATAGTATAGTATTTTATAGTGTTCCACGAATAGGGCAAGTTAGCAAGTCTTTTGGAGCGAAACTCTCCGGAAACCCGAAAAAACGCGATTGATTCAGGGCGGAGAGGCATCCGATAGAAAAATAACATGCAGCTAAACAAATGGAGGTGATTCGGCGTGGGGGTCGCACCGGCACGTTCCGGAGCCGATTTTCAGTATTTTAGGCCGGCCGATTTGATGATCTCGATAGTTTGGAGATGGTTCCAACTCTATTTATTGTAATTTGTCTGTTGTTTATTCGGGCGACCTCAGAGGCTTCGGATACTTTGGTAGGTCTTGGCTTTAGACAGTTTTAAACAGCCAACATTGTAATCCGCTAGATACCTTTAGCGACTTTGAGTCAGTTTTTCTTTTAAGTACCTTTAATAAATGACTTATTATGTCAGCAAAGATATTTCTCTGAGCTTCGAGTCTTTTTGTAGGTTACGCAGAAAGTGACGTGGTTTTTTTAAGCTACCAAACGAACCTAGAAAGCTCTATGTTGATTTTTACGTTTTTTTTAGAAATTGTTATACTATTTACTGGTTCGGATCAACTCTAGGAAACCCCAGCCGACTTTTCAACTTTTCAACCTTCCTTATGTTCGTTTTCGCCACTTTTTTCGACTGAACTGCAATGTGTCTTACTAATTTGCCTACGGCGAACATTTTGGTATACTTTAGAGCTCGCTAGCACAAAAGGGGGCCGTGATACAAAAGTTGGTGCCGGCTGGGGGGTGGGTTTCTAGACTCTTACCACTGGTTCTTGTTACTGTAAGATTCTTAGAGCATGACGTCATTGTTCGAATTCGGTTTTTGTGCTCACATATGCGTTTTGAGGGTTTAACGTCGTGAATTAAAGTAAATTAAAGCACGTAATTTTTATAAACTTTTGTTTTCCAGCTAACCAGGCTCCGACGGCAAGCATCAATTTGCAATCCGGACCCGAAAAATCCACCGGAAACGATGCCGCAATGCTTCTGCTGCATTTGTGCCGAGAACACACCTTTTTGCCAGGTAAATTTCTAAAAGGGAACCATTGGGCATAAAGATAAATGCCTAAAATATCTATTTCCAGGCGCCCATCACAAGAATTACACCTAGGCCTACATTCAAGACTACGATCAAAACTACCTCAAAAGTAACGACGAAGCCTACGACTAGGGTTTCAACACTGAGGGTATAGGATCTTGAACTTTGCGGTCATACCACCTCTAACTATTACGTCTACCCTTCGTTCTCTCTCTCTCTGGTTCTCTCTCTCTCTCTCGCTCTCTCTCTCTCTCCCTCTTTCTCTGGGATTTGGTTTTTATGGGAATTCTCAGTCTAACGTGATCATTTTAGACAACTCTACGGCCTGTACCATGCGTGGATGTGAACAGCAAGTAGGTTCATTTTTGAAACAGCGGGCCATGGCTTTTAAAATGCTGCTTTTGCCGGCGTCAAGTATTTAGGCTTACGTGCCTCAGGTCCCGGTAATAAACGCTATATATCCTGTACTTGCTATCCCAAGCGAGCGCATGATATCCGGCTTTTGCAACTGCCACTCTGAGTTTTGTGGTTTCCGAAGCCCCCACTTCCTCGGCGAGAACTAGTGGCGTTCTCAGTGCTTTCCCGTGCTTTTTATGGCCTCATTAAACGCGTTACAAGATTACGTTTCAGCTGCCCATCCTGGGTGTCGAACGGTTTCTGCACCAATACAGCCTACTCCATACAAGAACGTCAGCAGTACTGTGCGAGGAGCTGTAACTTGTGTGGCGCGCCGTTGGCCTCAGCTAGTTCAACTAAAATACCATGTGCGGACACAAATACAAAGTAAGGAATTTTCTTAAGGGAATTTTCATTAGGTTATAAGTGTTAAACCTTAAATTTTCAGCTGCTCCACGTGGATCAAAAACGGCTTTTGTACCTCAACAAGCTACACCGTGGCGCAACGTCAAAGCTACTGCGGGAAAAGTTGCAAACTGTGTTAATAAAGAATTTAAATATAGTTGGTACACGTCAGACAGTTCTTTTCTTTCTCAGCACAATTTATTTGAAGGCAGTATTTTAAGACCATGATCAGTTCCACAACTTGTTGTGCGTGCAGCTGCCAAAATCAATCCAGCAATGCATCAAGAAGTATTTTTTGATAGTAGGATAATTACACCTGGAAGCCGAGGAAGGTCGCCGCTTTGTATCCAGGGCAATGCCGGAGTGGCAGCTGGGTTCCGAGCCGAAATATGTTCTGTTCCGTGGTGTTGAAGTTATGAAGCTACTCCCTCTTGCTACACCTCAAAAACCGCATAAAAAATGACGAACACTGCCGAATTGCCAGAAACTCCAATATTCTTTGTATGCTATAAATACGCCGTGTTATTATGTTCGCTAGTGTCCTACGGAATTTCTACGTATCTGCTGTGGTTCCAGATGCCGAGTAACTCGAGGACCTTTAGTGGCTACTTGTTTGTGGTTCATGTAAGGCTTATAATTAGGTTTAGGCTTGGTTTGCTGAGTGCTTTGGCTTTTAGCTTTGAATACGTTATTTTCTAGTGTCTCTAGCGGCAGTGACTTCAACCAGAATTTAACCAGATACCGCCGAAATTTGTTAGTTTAGACGTTCGCAATCTCGACCGAAGTCTGGATGGTGCTTACCAATCTTACCCCACTTTTACCGGAAATTGCAGTCTATAGCAGCGGCTATTTAGCGGAACTCGGGATTAGCGGACATTACGCGGCGGTGGGTGTTGTCGACATCCAGGCCTACTACTTGAGAGCAAGAGAGGAAGAGAGAGAGAGGGAGAGAGAGAGAGAGAGACAGAGAGAGAGAGACGAAGAGAGCATAACGAATTGAGATCAGATGACCTAGCGCGTCCAACAATCTCAATAAATTGCGTTGCGAACCATCCAAGTTTTTCGAAGCATGTACGTTTTTGACAACGCGTGGCGCGTAGCTTACACAAATGTGATGGAGCTGCGGAACTCGTAATCTGGTTAGCGCTTCAGGTAACAGCTGCCGTCTTGACCGGCGGCGCTTCTATGATGATCCCGAATTGTCTGGCATATCGATTGTATTTACTCAAGCGAGAGCACGTTTTGTAAGTTGCACTCTACCTCAGCATTAAAGCCCCGCTTGGTTTCTAGGGGCTTCCCAGTAGAACCCAGGGCATTTCATTGGCTCCAGGCGGCCAACTACCTCGCCGGGGTGCCGGCCGTATATTTCCTGTTCCACGCTCAGGTGCCAAAAGCTCTGATCCCGCCTGATGAGGTGAGAACGAGGTATTTTTCCACAACTCTGAAGTCGAGGATCCACTCCTTCTGCACACCAACGTCGGCTACTACAACCCAAAATTAAATTTCGATTTTATCATTGGCTTGAGCTGCTGCATGCCTTTTGCCGCCCACGCATCGATAATTTGTGTGGTGTCGGTGATAAAGTTTGTCGTTTTGGACGGTTTATAGCGAAGTATGTCTAGGATTATTGAATTTCTCAACTCTTCCCCTACAGTATGCAAAAAGTCGCGAGAGCTACATCGGCGGGCCGTGTCTTCTTGCCTGATTATGGTAATTGTTGGAAATGATACCTAGAGCGGCTGGGTCGATATTTAGAAACCTAGAATAATCAGCTACTTAATTGGCAGCTACCTTAAAGGTGTCATCATATTTTCAGCTGCTACCCCCACTTATCGTCATGACGCTACCAACCTATGTTGCGCTTTACGGTGCTGCTACGGCATATTTTAAAGTAGAACAGCGTTACGATAGTAAGCAACTTCAGCCATGACAAGGTTAGCATGTTTTTTTTCCAGTAATCAACCAACTGATAATGCCACTATTCCTTGGCGTATCGATTCCATTGATGGTGAATACTTTATACAGCGCTCTTTGCCACAAAAGAGCCACGAAAGGGCGTGTTCTCCAAACCGAGAAGCTCAGAAAAAAGCGTAAGCACTGCTCTTCGTTAATTTTCAGAAATTTAGTGGTTATAATGGCGTTTACCGCGAAAAGAAGTCCTACAATTCCATCTCCTCGGAACTTAAGAATCTTTTCGATACTAAGTGAGCATAATTAAGAGTGTTTTTAACAGGGAATGCAAGAGAAAAATAGATGAATTAAATACATTGTATCGAATACAATTATATACATACGTTTTCAGACCTTTTCAACGTCTAAGGACAAAGCGAGGTGAAAATTACACAGGGATCAATTGCTGGGTGCCGCAAATTAACCGAGGATATCATTCACAGCACGCTTGAGGTTCCAATTAAAGCGGCTAAGAGCCGTGATGGCTTCCACCCTGTCCGCTCCTAGCTCGCATAGTCTGTCCACTTTCGCTACCATGTTTAGGTTGCTTTCGCCGCAGGCGCCCGCAAACTCTTGAGTCCAGAACCTGGCAGTCTCCTAGAATTCCGAGATGGGAAAGGGACCAGCAGCATACCTCGAAAGTTGGCGGTTAGTGTCGTATTGGGTTGCCACCAGTGCGTCCTGAAGATCCTGAAGCACCACCGGCGTGTGGAGCAGCGCTTGGATCATAACCAACAGTGTCGCCATGGTGATATTTGGCCTAAATCACCAATTTTGACATAGGGAATTCATAATATGGAAATTTCATAATGCCGAAATTCGCAATGCCGAACTTTTTTTGCTTAGAATTCGGGCGTTTTCCCGGAAAATAGCTTATGTACATCTGGACATTCGGAATTTCGATATTCTGAAATTTCGACATTCTGGAAATTCGAAATTTTGAAAGACCAGGAAGAAGCAATACCGCCATTCATCCTCAAGTCCGAAGCAGCCGATTTCGCCGGTATGCGAGCAGACGTTCGGATGCCATACTTTGGTGGTGAACCTTGCCTAAATCCAATCAAAAGTCGTGTTTAAAAGGTGTGTTTTTCGAGGCATCCGGGAAACGGTTCGAGACATAGCTCATTAGATAGAGAAATAAATTTCGAACAAGGTTTTTTTGTTCATTTTTGCAAAACGCAATCCCCGATTTAATAACATTAAAAAATAAACATGATATTTCGGCGCATTGCTGGTCGCAAGTCTGGTAAATAAACCAAAGTCCGGGACAAGAGCGCATCTGTGTTCTACCTAGCACCATCGGACTTACAAGGAGTCCTTTTTTGGGTCACTGGCAAAACCTTACGAGACTTAGCTCATTCGATAGAGAATTTGTTTCTGAACAAGGCTCCGTTGTCCCTTTTTGCGGAATGGCTATCCCTGATTTTATAAGATTAAAAACGGCGTCCGAAAGCTTCTCTTTTCGCTCGAAGGGCACCCATGGTAAGGGACGGCCACTGCTTTTCAATTTTATAAAATCAGGGATAGCCATTCCGCAAAAAAACACAACTGAATCTCGTTCAGAATCGAATTCTCTACCGAATGAGCTAGGTCTCTTAAGGTTTTGCCGATGACTCAAAAAGCACTCCTTGCAAGCGCAGTGACTAACGAACGCCGTTGCCTTCGAAACTTTTTTGCACCCGCTTGACGGGTTCGGTTCTTCTCGGGTTCATTACTTTTGCTTTTTGTTAACTAATGCTTTCGCAGCGGTATCTGACCACTTGGCACGCGGAACTAGCTTGTTTTCACTTGCGAGGGACCCAGAAACAACCAGAAACACAGCCAAAAACATTCAAACCCGAGCGTAAAGCTCGTCGGACCTAGCAAACTGCGATTCAGCCATGCGCGGAAATGTCATATTACCCTGGGCGCAGCGAATGGGTAGTCTGAAGGAACACATATCTCCAGCTCAAACCTGCCGCCCTCATACGGTGAGCCAGCTACTCCAGGGATTTCGGCTTGCAGGCGAGTTAGATCCTCATCAACGAGTTTCAGCTTGAAACCTAAAGCCAGATCTATTGGGTGTCCGAAAAATAGACCCGTCAGGCATTTCGCTGCCTTACATCCGATCGGTACCAAAATTGAACCAGAAGTGTAGCAGAAATTTTCGTACATATTTTCGAAAGTCATATTTTCGAAAAGTTATATTTTTGGAAATCATATTTCCGAAAAGTCAGATTTTCGAAAAGTCATATTTTCGAAGTCAGATTTTCGAAAAGTCAGATTCTCGAAAATTTACACTAGGAAAGTGCAAGGTGAAAGCAAATAGGAATTCAATGGCATGAAAGAGCAATGCAAACTTGTCGAAATTCGGATTTTCCAAAATATGCCTTCGAAAGTATGATTTTCGAAATACGATTTTCGAAAATATGATTTTTCGAAAATATAACTTTCGAAATGCAAATCGATGCAAAGCCCAAGATAAAACAAACCAAAGAACTGCTAAAAATTGCAGAAAAAAAACAGTTTTTGCGTTGTAACCCGAGAACTACTGTAGCTATGGGGCTGCAGGTTAGCATTCGTGTTGTTTAGGCCCTAATACTCCTCTGGTACAATTTTTAGAATAGGATGTAACGCGGCGAAAGACCGGAGGGATTATTATTTCATCCGGTATCTGCTGCAGTGAATGACTTACCCGATTCCTGAAGACCATCTTCCATCCTCATGAATAGGCTGACCTCACGTTTAACGCGAATCTCGCAAGGCCTCGTAGGTTCGCTTTCAGACATTTGTCGAAAAAAATTGAAGCAGAAAATTGGGATACAGTAACGGAGAATAAGGGAGTAAAACAATGCAGCTCGCGTCCATTCGCGCCCGCCGCAATGATTTTCGTATCAGCCCGATTTTCTTGCAGCACGATTTGGTGTTCTCTTGCGAAACGATCCATTGCGGCGGCTGATGGATGATGTCACCTGCGGAACGGCGAAATGAGTGAAAAAGCGAAAAACTCCGGGAAAACGTCAAAGGAACGCCCGATTCGAAAGCTTGCGTAAGACATTCATTCGTACGGCACTCGAGCTGTTGTGATGGGAAAAGATCCCGGGGTTTAACCGGAAAAACATTTCCAGGAGGGTTGTGGCCGTCCGTTTCACCATGCACAACCTGAAATTTTGGAATTTTCTCTTGGCTTTTGAAATGTCTCCTGAAT